ATAAATCGAGTAATGCATAAAGAAACGGTGACATAAACCTTACGTTAATGAGCATATGAAATAAGTTGTGTACAAACGCATCCTAGATAGGTTCGCGAGGTCAGAAAGTATACTTTACGGAAATGCCACGAACAAAAAAGTTATGGAAATCGAATACAATGGGTTTAAGCGAGGTGTGCAAGTTAATGGAATAGAGTACAGGTAGACCTTTATATGAGAACGAAAAGCATTAAGGCAAAATTGAAAACCCGCTACCTGAAATAAAGAGACTTAGCATGCAAGCACGCGGTTAGTAAATCGGATGCAGCGTACCTACAAACGCTGCGCCGGTTCTGCCTACGTTCTCTGCAGGTCCCGTCGTGGCTTCGGTAGTAGTCCCGATTGGCCTCGCTCATGGCTCACTAAGCCTGCTAGACTAAGGCACTCGCGACTGCATGTTCTACAGCACAATGCGCTCGATGTCTATGGAGAACAACCCATCGGTGCTTACCGTTTCCGCAGTTGCCGCTTCTTCTCTGCATGCATGAGGGCTTTCTTTTGCACCTCAGCAACTGCCTTCTTAATCAGATCCAGCCATGCACGCCGATCAACCGCCTTCGATTCCCATGATCTGCAATCGAGATTAGAACGTGTGAGGCCCACTTTAATCATGTCCTGGTATCGTAACTTTGATTTCCCCACGTGCCGCTTCCCAATATTCAGCTGACCATATAATAGCTGCTTCGGTATCCGCGTCGAATCCATACGGCTCGCATGACCGATCCACCTCAGATGTCTCAATAAAAGTATGCAGTCCACTGCATACATCCCACGTCGGCGCAAAACTTCCGTGTCTGCAACTCTGTCACCTCAGCCGATGCGCAAAATCCGTCGCAGACACTGCTGATGGAACCGCTCGAGATATCGCACATCCCGACGGTACATCGTCCACGTTTCACTGCCGTATAGAAGAACGGACAGTACCATGGATTTGTACAACATCAGCTTCGTGCCAATGGTAAGCTGATGGTTGTTCCACACTCGGTACTCAAGCTTCCAGAATGCCGCCGCTGCCTTCGACACGCGGATACACAACTCACTGTGTAGCTGCTGATCAGTCGACATCACACTCCCAAGGTAGCAAAAGTGGGAGGTGGTTTCTAATACTTCAGCACCAATGCTGATTCGCGGCAATATTGAAGATTGCATCGCCGGTGAAGGCTGAAAGAGACAGACAGTTTTGCTTGTGTTGATGGTGAGCCCGAATTTGGCCGCTGTGGAAGCCAGACCACTTATCATGTGCTGCAACTCATTCTCGCTGTGTGCAAACAACGCGCAGTCGTCAGCAAACAGCAACATACAGATAGTTGTCTAACAGACTAGGATTCTCGCACCGAAACGACGGATGTTCATCAACCCACCATCAATACTGTGCTCCACACGAACACCGTAAGCACAAGCGGCATCAAAAGCACAGGACAACATTGCATGATGATATATATTAAACAGGGCAGGTGCTAAGACACAGGCTTGCTTCACATTAGAGACAACTGCAAAGTCATCCGAGGTCTCTCCACTCAGCTGCACCCTCGCTCGCATACCACTGTGCAGAGTTACAACTAACCTTACAAACTTACGCGGGCAACCAAATTTGCTCAACACCAGCCACAATGCCTCGCGGTTCACCGTATCAAATGCCTTGGTGAAATCAACAAAAAGCGGGTGCATTGGCTGGTGTCGTTCTCTGCCGTTCTCTTGCAACTGACGAGCCGCAAACACCATATATCTAGTGCTGCGACCCGAACAGAATCCACACTGCTCTTCCGCCACGTTAGGTTCCACAACCTGACTGACGAAGCGGTTGAGCAGGATTCGAGCAATCACCTTGCTCCCACAACTCAGCAAGTTGATGCCGCGATAATTCGTGCAACATTGCTTGCTCCCTTTGCCCTTGTACAGTGGTAGCACAAGGGCATCCTTCAATTCAGAAGGCACACCCTCCTCAATCCATACACGTTGCACCAAGTGGTGCAGCACAGTCACCAACGCGGGTCCGTCGTGTTTCAATACTTCAGGCGGTATCCCGTCGGCACCGGCACACTTGCCGTTTCGCAGCTGAGCAATTGCTCTCTGCTTTTCATCCAGTGTCGGCGTGTCCGCCAGACTCGCCTTTGCATTGTGCTGCTTGAGGTTGTTTAAAGTAGGGCAGTCGATCTCTGAACGGTTGTTCCAGAGAGTGTCAAAATGATTTCGCCAGATCTGCATTATGTCTGCGGTCTGTATGCAGGCAGCGCCTGAAGCTTAATCGATCAGCGTCCTTAGTGGCTCCAACCTCGGTCCATACACCACCTTCAAGAAGTCAATGGATTCTTTGTATTGGCAGCGTTTGGCGTAGCATTCCATCTGCTTCGCCTTCTCCGTCCACCATGCATTTGTAATGCGACGGAGCTGTCAGGTCAGTCGTCGTTGAATTCTGCTAAACTTTTCTTTCCCAGGTCACTGTGGTCAGCAACATGTGCAGCAAATGCTGCATTCTTCTCCGACACCAAAGCGCCGATCATCGCATTGTTGTCATCAAACCAATCAGGCCGCTTGCAGTTTTCGCGCCCGATGGTCTCTTGGGCAGCAGCTGTCACCTGGTCGCGAATGTGGTGCCACAGGTCACCCACTGTGGCTATGCAGTTCACATCATACAGGCTGCAGCCATCACCTGCTAAAGATCAATACGTTTCGCCACAGTACCGTGGGAGAGAATGTTAAATTTACGCCGATTCACGGCAGGAGTGCAATACATAGATTTACGAAAATATATGTACAGTTTGGTCCGCACCAGTTCGTGATCAGTGCCACACTCAGCTCCACGCAGTACACGTGTCATGCGCACTTCACGCATATCACGCTGACGTACGATGACATAGTCGAGCGGGTGAGCGTGACCAATTCATGGGTGTGTCCAAGTTGCTATATCACTCGCACTCAGTGCCAACCGCGTGTTCGTGATCGTCAGGTCGGGAGTGACCCACAGTGAGAGCAGCCTGTCACCGTTCGTATTCGCTGAGCCAATGCCATGCGCACCGGTAACATCTGTCCACGCTGATGCATCACGCCCAACGCACGCGTTGAAATCACCCAGCAGAAATAGTCAGTCGCTTCTCGTCACCGACTGTATCACGGAGGATAGCTGAGTGTAGAACTGATCACGCATGTCATCTGGATAACACATGGTCGGACCGTACGTACTTATAAAAGTAGCAAACGTACCTCTTCCGAGTCGTAGGCGAACAGTCATCAGTCGCGCGCTGATGCCCGTTTGTTCACCCACCAGCTGGCCATGGTGGCGATCGTGTAGTGCAAATCCGACCCCACGTTCACATAGTGCTGATGCGGCGTTGCCCATCCAGTGGAATGTTTAGCCAGCACCTGCTTCATGCAACTTACCTTGCTCAGCGAGCCGGGTTTCACTAAGCGCCGCAATATCCATGTGGTAGCGCGCCAGTTCCATCGCGACCAGTGCAGTGCGTCGCTCCGGGCGCTCGCTGGAGTTCCGGTCCAGTAGTGTGCGCACGTTCCAACACATGATGCTGAGTGCTTGGCGCGAAGGCATACGATTGCATTGGTGGGCAATCGCACGCGAGGTGGTCGTTGTGCTTCGGAGGTTTGCTTGAGGGACTCCACCCGGAGCCTTCGGCTCAATAGCCTGACGCACAAGGCAATCTGTTGTTTGGAGGTTTGCTTGAGGGACTCCGCCCGGAGCCTTTGGTTCAATAGCCTGACCCACAAGGCAGTGGGTGGTTTGGTGGTTTGCTTGAGGGACTCCGCCCGGAGCCTTTGGCTCAATAGCCTGACCCACAAGGCAGTGGCGAGCAGATCCAGCTCTGGAATGTGATTGCAGAGACAGATGGGGATTTACTTGACGGCCCTCACGCGCAGCATTTGAGGTTCTGGAACGTTTTATATATGTTATGCGACCCTAATAGGATACGCACTTGCGACCATGGCCAGACGCAGGTGGGTTTTGGCGGGTTTGCACTAATTTGACCAGGGGATGCCTGTCTTGAGGCGGGCAGTAGCAAACCATTGAACACCCGGAGTTGTGCTCCCACCGTAAGAGACAATGCTTGGCGCTCGTGCTCTGCGCCAATCGCGCTGTGAGCTTATAACCCGTAGACCTGTTGTCTCTCATGGCTAGGTTTTACCTGAAGTAGGCCATCGACCACTTCCTAACCTTCGAAGAGGATGGACTAGGATACTGCCAGGGCGCCCAATCCTGAAGGAGAACGACTCGGGTCCTCAGCCAAAGCCTTCGAATAAATGAACACCCGAAAGGCAGCGGTTTTAGCACATGGTCAGTTCACTGACTCATGCGGATTGGTGTCCTGGATCTTAGCAGGGAGAAAGGCGAAACCCAAATCCCACCCAGCGGTCGCCACGAGGAGGCGCCCAGGACATGAGCAAATGACACAACAGTAGCAGCAGTGGGTAGACAATCTGTTAGGATCTAACCACCACCAGCCTTAGCGCACCATAGTCTCTCCCGCCTTGCTCATATATATATATATATATATATATATATATATATATATATATATAATACATACATGGGAGAGATAGGGAGCGATAGTCGTCGTGGGCTTATTTTCGTTAACCCTTGTTGTTTAGCAATGGTGTTGTTTTTAATTACTTATTTGCTGCTTTTTATCTTGATGCTTTTGCAGCACCCGCTACTGCCGATTCATTATATATGTCATTATATTTCTATATGATATTCTGGGTGGAAGTATCTTTGTCGGCCCATATCTGTACTGTTTCACTGGTCGCCACCTTCGCTTTCTCGTGACCACTCTATCCCTGGCCACTTCTCATAGACACAGACTTGCGCTGACCTGAACATTCGCATTCTGGACATGTTCACATGGCATTGGTAACGTTGTTGTCTAAATCCCAGCTTTACTTTATTCTCTCTACTTTTCTCCTCGATCACGTAGTGAACCTTCTTTTTGCTTCCTCGTGCTTTTTCACAGCTGCGTCCAACATAAGGGCTGGAGTGCAGCCTTCTCTGGGGACACAACCGATGCGAGCCCTATGGAAACGTTCGGTGATGTCGATGAATCCGTCTCTCCTGCAAAACGCCGTAACGTGTTTTCTAAAGTTGATCCACGTGCTGCTTTCGAGTCGGTGCAATCCCCAAATTCTGCTGATGGTTGCAAACTTGCATGCCCCTCACACCACTCTGCTGATGGAGCACCCGAGTCTCTTCTCAGCGAATCGCAAAAGTCGTGCGACAAGACTGCCCACAACTACGCGACACAGAATTCAGATATGCTTTGGCTATCCCGGAAACTTTCCAATCTGAGTACCAGAGGAGTTCATTCTACTTCTCTTCAAGCACTAGATGAATGGCTCGTCCCCTCACCAGCACCTCTCTTGCGATAGTCGACCTCATGATCCTCCGTTTGTTTTGAAATTTGCTTATTCATCTCATGGCTTTCATTCGGCTTTCGCCCAGATCGATTCTGCACTCTGCTCCCTTACAATCATGCTAGCAATTACAACCCTGCTTTCCTCATTCATGTCACATCTTTCGACCTCTGACTCTACGACTCACTGGTCTTTTCGTTTCGATTCGTTTTCTCATTTTAGTACAAATACATTCTGATCGGTCTCACCCGTTATTTATCCATCCGGTTGTCTGACTCTCTCTATCTCCCCTGTATTGGAACACGTGTGAAACACCATTTATCGTTTGGTTAAGAATTATTTCCAAACCTACTGTATCGCAGAAACTAAACTGATTTTACCCTACCAGACTTAATACTGCTTCACTATCCTGTGTTATGCCCATCAGTCCTATGGTGAAGATCCATTTCTCGAATATGCATGAAAGCCCGTGCTTTCCACTGCGACGTCTTCATGAGGGTGGTGGTAAGTTATCCAGATCTTATCCAAACTCACTGGAACGTTAGCGCTTTAGTGACTCACTGCATGTCGTTTCATCTGCGCTGCGATGTATATGTGCTATCACAACCTACTTCTCGTCCAGTCGACCTCATTCCTACTCGGCTTTATGTAATGCCCCATCGTGGTATGTTCCATTATGAATCCCACGATACACGTATCGAGTTCTTGTCCGGAAAGAGATGATCGACCCGGACTGTGCCGATGACATCAGCAATTGTATGTCATGCGCTCGACTCTTGGCAATTATCATTAACATGCTTTTCACACCTGTAACGTGAGAAGTTCTGTTTCAACGTCCCCATGCGCTGTGAATTGGAGACTATTGCTGGATTCGCTTACGCTGCCGATAAATATCGCATGACTTTTGGAGTCGGTTCATGCACTGCACAGTTCAGATCTGTCTTTGTAAATCTGCAATACCAAAAACAGGTTCTAGATTCTGGACGCATCCACTCTCGTACTTCCTCAACGTCTCAGATTCTACCAACACCTGGCCACCCACATCACTGGAATGATCTGTGTTACCTACAGTTGCATAGTAACCGGCAATCGGTACAAAATGTTATCGCTGTTCATTCCAAACTTATGTTTCTTTGGTTTTCAAAATTTGGCGTATGGGGTTATGGTGAGAACCATCCCTATAACAATGTTTCCCAGCCCATTCGGTCCTTAGCCATCGTTACACACGAAACTGGATTTCATTCGAATTTCCAATGTATCTACAGCGTTTACGCACGCTCGCAATCGCTGGACGCTGATGGTCACTTACTCTCTTTAGGTTAAAAAGTAGGATGGTGGTGGGGTAGCCATTGACCAGGCGGAGATAATCGGAACTGTCGTCGGTTGTGTATACAATCAGATACCGTTACCATGTTTGCTGTCCTTATTTACACGGGCTGCCTCCTGGTCGGCCAATGGCTGAAATGAGTACGGGCTTGCTTTGTATTCTGGAGGTCATCGGTGCGATTCCGCGTAGGTGCGGATGACATCTGAGTCGTCACGCGACTGATGCTGGTCGCGTGACAGCACAGAGCCAGTACGCTATGCCGGCGTATCGCTGATGTCTTCCCTTAAACTATTATGGAATTGCTTTATCCTTGAGGTATGATTGATGATGAATGGCAGCTGTTATGGTCTCAAGGTAGTTCGCATCGGAAAGGTTCCCGCAGATTTTTAGCTTATGTATCTGTGTATGTCGGAACGTAATGCTTTGGCTTGCGTTTTTCCCGGACTTTCTTGTTTGTTGTCGCGTATTTTTTCTGCTTTCTGGGTGTCAGACTGTCAAACATTGTTCGGATTTTTCGTCTTAACAAACACTTCGCAGGGGATTTTCCATCAGGAGTTTTTGGATTCGGAGTGTTCTGATTCATTTTCTAAAAGAGCTGAATTGCTTTACATAACATTACGGTTCCTTCAACTTTGTGAAGAACATGTTTAAAGGTATATACATACCGCTCCGCGTCCATTTGACTGGTTGGTACACGGTACTTGAACCCTCCGGAATCCGTTTTGCCTGCGAAATTCTCTTTAGTAGTGTTGAGGTTAACTGCGCTCCGTTGTCCGTTACCAGCATCTCTGGTATTCGGAAATGCTTGTTTGTTCACCTGATCGATAACGAGTTGGACGGTAGGGTTTTGCGGCATTATCACGTCGAGCCATTTCCTGAAGCACTCCTCCAAAATCGGATTGCACTGGCCATTGAATGTCCCACATAGTTCAAATGGTTTTTTGCCAGCGCTTCTCCTTCTTAGGCCAGGGTTGCCGCAAACATTTGGAGGCAGCTTTTGCCTCTAGTTGATAAGACTCGCATTTGAGGCCAGCAAACAAACTGCGCGCCAGAGCTTTCCTCCAGCTATTTACAAGATGTTTCGAACGAGACGGCTGTAGTATTCGCCTCACCAACTTTAGTACTACTTCTCGGTCTCTGTAACTTGAACAACTGTCCACAATTGTAGGCAAACCGCATCGATTAAAGAAAGCTTACAAATCAGCCAGAGTTCAGTCATCAGGCCAACATAACTGCATCGTTTTCGGAATGGTTTCGTCCTGAGCAGTCTACACGTATCTTGTCAGCAGTTACTAGCAGTTATTTTACCTTGTCAACCAGGATACGTTAGACTTTGATTTGTGTTTGACGTTGCTATCGCATAGTCATCGTTACATGATCGTAAAGTCGGTTTTTGTTGTAAACTCATTGCGAATACGTCGGAACTCGCTGCATTTTATTTACTTACTGACGATGACCTATCTAATTTATCAGCACTCCATATAATTTCCAAGCTGTCTCATTGTCCTCGCCATTTGTGCTTGGAGATGTTAGTTGTAAAGCGATCAATTATTTTTTACTACCTGGAAAACGGATGCTGGTTGGACTTTCCCTTCTGCACTTGATAAATCAATGGATTGTTTATTCTCTACAGTGTGAGGCATGCCTGCATAGGCTTGATCATGGTAATACAGTCCAACCTGCTATGGCGACCAGCCGAAAACATCCCTAACGTTTTATCCTATGAGTAATGTCCCTATGCATGAACCTGTTCATAGCGACCACCTGTCCGAAGCGACCACGCAAGTAATCGCCTTGGACAGTTTCGACCCCAACACGAAAAACTGGTCATTGTACAAGAATGTCACAAGTCAACCAGTTGCAAACTATATCTATGTGTATATATGCATTCATGCCCCATGCTGAGGCTGATGTTGCATTCTTGATGCTTCTTCACCGCAGTTGGGCTAAACCAACTTACACTTAAACTAGGTCTTTTTAAGCTGGATAAATTTCATTCCGCTCTATTTGGTTTGTTTTGCCTCCCTGAATAATGTTCTATTAACTGGCCACGTTGCTTACACTAATTGCGCTTATCTTCGGTAATTTTGTTGCGTTTGTAGCATTTTAAGTAACTTGTGGACATTTCTTACTTATCACGGATTTGTTGCTGACCAACTTACTTCATATGGTAATTTAGCGAAGAGTTATGCCATCGTATCTGTATGCATTATTGGATTTATTTTATTTCAGCTTGTCGTTTAAATTGAATGGCTGTTGTTTGATATCCCTGGTATGGTTGCGGTTGATGTGTATGTTGACAAAGTGCCTACCTGTCTATTACCCACTACATCGTTCATACTGGCTCCAGGAGACAGTTGGTCGTTGCTGGAGCGGACGGGGTGCACGGTTCTTGTGGCCGTGCTAGGCTCAAAGAGCGGTTCCATGCACTCAGTGTGCAGCGGACTACGGTCCAGCCACCGCCTTGTGTGCGGTTGATTCCCCAAATACAGCGTGCTTGTGTTTGCCTGTGAAGGAGTGTGGGCCGGCTCCGTTGATGAAACGTGGTTCCCATCCGCATGCCTCCCGGTCTTATTCCTTCGGGTTTACACTGGATATGGGGTGTGTGGTTGGAGCTGTGGGTGGTGCAGCGCAAGCCATCCATGGTCCCTCTGTAGGCGCAGGCGTCCTGTGGCTTGCCACAGTGACAGGCAAATCCGAAACCGGATGCCGCCTACCATATGCATTCATGATGCTTGTTCGCCGCATTTGGGCTAAACCGACTTGCACTTAAACCACCACTTTTTAACCTGGGTAAATGTTACTCTACTTTATTTGATTTATTCTATTCTGTTATTCTGCTGCATGTTCTGTGTCCATTTTGCGTGTTTGCTTTCCCTCAAATTCTATGTTGGTTGTTTGATATCCCCGGCGTGACTGCGCTTGATGTGAATGTTGACAAGGTGCCTATCTGTCTAACACCCTCCACCTCGTTTACTGGCTCCTGAAGGTTGTGATTCATTTTTGAGGGGGGGGGGTAAAGGGAACACGGTGTTCTTGACCGTGCTAGGATCAAAGAGTGATTCCATCCAGTGTGGAGGGGAAAACGGTCCAGCCACCGTGTTGTCTAAGTCTGGTATGCATGATTCCGTACATAGATGGACAGGAATGCTGCTGCTGTAGGAGTTGTGGGCCGGCTCTGTTGTTGAAACGTGGCTCCCATCCACAGGTCTCCTGGTCTTATTACTTCGGGTATACACTGCATATGGGGTGTGTGGATGGAGCTGTGGGTAGTACAGCGCAAGCCACCCTTGGTCCCTCTGTAGGCGCAGGCGTCCTGTGTTTGTCCCAGGGAAGCCGCAGAGACAGGCAAATCCATGTGACCATGTTGCATGAATTGGTTAATGTAACGCTCCATGTGTGATTGTGTTTCATGGGGTCGCCAGTGCAAGCATGGATAACAGGAACTCTTGAAATTGGGTTACTGACTTCCTCGAAGAGAGTAACATCATCTGGATGAACAAGAGGTGGTGACTTTAGTTAGTAATGAGTCACATCCACCATATTGCAGTGTTGTTAGACGAACATTTGTGGCTTTTTATAGGGAGAACGCTTGCCAGGCGAAAATCTAGCACGTTTTGAAACAGCGCCGACAAACCATTCGCTGGACCGAGAATGTCCTAAACCACCCAGCTGGCACCATCGTGAT